GGACAGGGCGGCGTGCATCTGTTCGCCGTTGCCCTCAAAGAAACGGCCACATCCACCTGGAATGCATTAGATCGTCCCAGCATAACGTCGTTCCGCTGATGCGTTTACCTTGGAAGAGGGTGTCTCCGGTGAAGACCCCGCCTGCCTGGCTCTTGTTCGATGAGTCGGTAATGTAGTAACAAATTGAATCTTGTGTGTGACACGGAGTTGCTAAGCACCTACACGAGGGCGACATGGTTGGACATGTTCGATGTTGCTCAGGAAGATGGGAAGCTTACTTGACCTGAATGTTCTCACCAAGGGTGAATTCATCCTTGTCCTTTACGGAGTTTGTCCGAGCAAGTACACGGTCACTTCCACCGTAGATGGGAAGGCGTGGATACTGTGCGGCCTACAGGAGTGGATGCTCGGTGATTCGTCGCGAGTTGGTGGATACTTTTCACTCACGAAAGCCTGATAACCGACAGGAAATGTGGAGCGACGTTCTTAGATTCTAAGCGCGTCCGGGGCTACCGTCGATGTTTGGGAACGCACCTCGTTTCCACCGCTGTGATCGTGGTGATGGTGAGTTGTGATGGCAGCCACGAGAGTTACCCCTAGCTGTTCTGCGGTTGCCTTTACCTTTGGGACGTCGTATGGATCGACGGCTGCGGCCTTGTTGCAAGGCTCGTCTATGATCAAATATGCGTAGTTGTCTTCTCTGACGGGGACTGGGACGACCTTCATTTTGAGTGCAGAGGTGGATGAGAATGACCTGCGTGGATTCAGATGACTCCGGACGGCGAGGCTGATAGGTCGCAGATGTCGCATAAGTTTTAGGTCGTCAGCAGACTTTGACCAGCACCGCAAAGCTGATGGAAAGGTAAGAGACCTTTTTTTTTTTTCCAGTTATTTATGCACGACATCGACATCGATGTGATACGAGTCCATCACTGGCGCTGCGACGGCTTTGATGGCCTTTGATCTGCACAGCTAATCCTCCACTACCGCTCCTCCTGCCTGGCGTTTAGCTAACCGACCCTTGGCGAGGACTCGACTCTTTCGCATCTTCATCCTCGGTCAACCACATTTTCTATGTCGTCGGATCCAGGTGGTGGAATTTCGGTAGGCCACATTCGCAATCCTAACATGGGTCTCGTATCCTCATTTTCTTCCAGATTCACAGACCAGGCTTCCCCTCGGATCCGTCAGCACCCGCAAACACCTCGACCACGGTCGTACCAACTCAATCATTCTCTTCCCCACCAACCAGCTCCTCCAATGCAGCCATACCCTCCACCGTAGTTATTACGGCACCACCACCTTCGACACTGTCCAGCTCCACATCACAAGCTGCAACCACGAGTAGCCCTTCAGCGGGGGAAATAGCTGGAGGTGTGGTCGGTGGCGTAGTCGGTCTCCTGCTTCTCGCCCTAGGTATCCTTCTTTTCCTCCGCGCTCGCAAACGCAAACGCATTGCGCCATCGTCGGAATTCATGAACTCTCTGCAACCGGGTGCTACTCCCATCCTTCGACTTGATTCTGGTGCCGAATTTACACCCGCTTCTGAAAAAGGTGGATATCACTCCCAGACCGTCCCACCTCCATTCATGCAGAACTCGTACAACAAGAGTGCGGCATTGCGGGACATGAAATTTCCTGATGCCCCCGACACTCCTTTCGCACGCCCCAGTATCGAGAGACCCCTCCAGCCCCAGCGCTTCTCTGCGCAAAACGCAAACGACTCATTCGCAGGTCCCCAGTTACTCAGCTCCAGTATGGGAAGTAGGAATGAGATTCTGAGCAGTGATTCCGAATTATTCCCCGCGTCTTCATTCGATGCTCATCGGCCTCGTTCAAACGCTCATGAAAGAGTACCGTCACGAGGAAGTTCACAGCATGAATCGTTTTTGCCAAATTCGTATCCTGCCCTTTGGCAGTTGGCAGTTTCCCAAAGACCAGAATCCCAGGACACGCATGGCGAATACCCTCCAGATACCCGAGCGCAGTCACCACTGCGCCCGTTGCGCCGTGAAGATCCGGAAGAGGGGTAGAATGATGGTGCTCTAGCATGCGGCTGTATCCATCCTGCTCGTAGTGCGAGTAAGTAATATGGAGATCGTTCGTTGAATGTATGTAGCATGTATCACTACGTCCTCATTGTTTATTGCCCACCCTCATAATCCCTGATTATGTAAGAGAAATCCACTGACATAGGCAGGTATAGGCGTGTCTTTCTTCACCTCTACTCATAAATGTTGGACCACTGCTCGATATCTCATAAAGGTATAGTCGTGCTGGTTACTCTAAGCGTTTATTTCGTGACGTTTCACCAGGTGGTATTGTTCTCTGGGCGCGTTCATTTACGCCCGAGGCCTCCCACGTAACATCCTCTCCAGCATCACCCGTAAACTCGTTAATTCGCGAAGCGCTTATTGAAGGTCGGACCGCAGAGGAGAAATATGAGAAGGATGGTTATGCCGTCAAGTGGACATTCGTCAACGATCTCGAGCTGATATTCGTGGTGCGTCCCAGTCAAACAAGTTGATCGTCTCCACGATGCAAGCAAACAAAACCAGGTCGCATACCAGCGCATCCTTCAACTCACATATGTCGAAGATCTTCTCACCGCTATGAAGGCGCTCTTCATCAAGCTTTTCGAACCGTTTTTGGCCACATTCGTAGCTTCGCTCCATGCCATGAACAATGGGAAAGTAGCCTCTGCTGCGCAACATGCTACCAAACCTTGGAATTTCACAAAGGCATTTGAAGGCTGGGATAAAGTCTTTGACAAACTACTCAAAGGATTTGAAGACAAGGCTGCACAGGTAATGATATGATGGACAATGCCGATACACACTTACCGGTGGAATAGGAACGCAAGTCCAGATTTCGACCTGTCCAACAAACGGACCACATCAACCCCAGTCCACCTTCCGACGATCTCAGTACTGGTACGTGTCAACTAATCCCTTCAGTGCGCTGATTCAAGACCAGAGTGCTAGAACCTTCCGAGTCGTCCGTGGCGCCGCAAGATGAACAACAAATTTCGAGAAACGTTCAAGCCCTCAAAAATCGGCTACGTGGCCGGGGCGCCAGACGCGGCGGTCGGGGGATGGCGCGTGTGGAGTCAGGAGGTGGACGAGACAGTCTTCCTACGTCGGAGTGAGTCTTCCTCCAGTTCTCATCATGAAAGTGGCCCTAATTTCTGGTTCTTCATTTAGTAACGAGTCTACTAATAAACGAAAAACTAAAGCCAAGGCGCAACGTAAATGGGGAGATGAGGCTCCTACGGAGTTGGACATGGCGTCCCTTGATTTTAGTCTCGACAAACCAGAGTCTGGCGCCAACGGACATTTGTCACCCGATCTGCAAAGCCTTGTTGACGAGGCATCCTTGGGCACGAGGACGAAGGAAGGGCTCTATGAAGTGAAAGATTGGGACTTTGGCCAGAAGGAAGCCGAAACCAATGATGTAATTGCACAAGCCCTGAAGTCCGACACGGCAAAGCAGTCAGCGGGTTCCCTCGGCACATTAGGGTCCCTTTTTGCTCGGTTGACTGGATCAAAAGTACTCACGGAGGAGGATTTAAAGCCTGTTCTGGAGGGAATGAAGCAGCATCTTATGAAGAAGAATGTCGCAAAGGAAATCGCTGACAAAGTGTGCGAAGGTGTAGGTGAGAGTTTGGTAGGGAAGAAAGTGGGAGGGTTTCAAAGTAAGATCTTTCTTTGCAAGTCTGCTCCTTCTTATTCCGCCTTTAGCGACTAGCAACGCTGTTCGCATGGCGCTGTCGTCATCTCTGACAAGAATACTTACCCCCAAGACATCTACCGACCTTTTATTGTCAATCAGAACGAAGCTCTCTTCCCCTCTTCCATCTTCTCAACAAAGAATTCCTTACAGTATCACCTTTGTGGGTGTCAATGGTGTTGGCAAGAGCACGAACCTGTCCAAGGTTTGCTTTTGGCTGATTCAAAACGGACTACGAGTCCTCATTGCTGCCTGTGATACATTTCGGTGGGTATATATCGAGTTACGGTGGATAAGAAGTCTTGACAGTTGTTTGCGCAGGAGCGGTGCTGTGGAACAGCTCCGGGTCCACGTACGGAACCTGGGCATGGTCGGACTTAATGGAGCAACCAATAGCAGAGCTCGCGTCGAGCTGTACGAGAAGGGCTATGGCAAGGATGCCGCTGGGATCGCAAAGGAGGCAATCGCATACGGTGAACGTTGGATATTGTAAGATGATTCCCCTACTTGCCTAACATTTCTCTTCAGCGACGGATAACGACTTTGATGTCGTTCTCATTGACACGGCGGGACGTATGCAGGACAACGAGGTGTGTGTCGCATAACGACGTCCACTGTTCGTCTGACCAGCTTTGCGCATGCAGCCATTGATGAGAGCTCTTGCCAAGGTTTGTTTGTGCACCCCTTACCTTCAAGCAGCATTCCTTTGATCAACGCCATAACAGCTCGTATCCGTGAACAATCCCGACAAGATCATCTTCGTGGGCGAAGCACTCGTCGGCAACGAAGCCGTCGACCAACTGACCAAGTTCGACCGCGCACTGCGTGACTTTTCGTCGGCCTCTCCTTCGGGGAAGAGCCGTGGTATCGACGGCATGTTGGTGACGAAATGGGATACTGTGGATGATAAGGTGCGTGCCCCGTCCCTCATCTTGGCAGGAGCAGGACCGTTTGGCTGAAACAGCCACGCGTAGGTCGGTGCAGCACTTTCCATGACATATGTCACAGGTCAACCCATTATTTTTGTTGGCTGTGGTCAGGTACGTGGGGCTCTTCCGTGAGGACGTGATGAGTGCTTACTGTGACTCAGACTTATACCGATTTGAGGCAGTTGAGGGTATCCAATGTGGTTCAGGCAATTTTGAAGGACTAGTCATACTTGTATACGTACACGCGAATACGTCCCAACGCAATTCCAACGTGATAACCGTCGAGGACACTTCGCTGTCCCTCGAGATGGGTCATATGTATAATTTTACCCTCAGTAAATGTCTCTGGTAGTATATCGGATAGTACATCCGCCTGTCACTGAAGCCCGGTGGCTTGGGATTCGCGGAAGAGCGGGGTTCGACTCCCCGCCAGAGAGTTTTTTTGCGTGTCTTTTTAGATCTGGCTTCACGTGTCGAGGCGGAAAACAGCCTTGGAAGAGGTCGTGCACATTATACGGCAATAACATGCAGTATTCACCCTCTCATCTACTTCTCATTTCGCACACATGCTGAAGCATACAACGAAGAGAAATCTCCACTGCTAGCTTTTACTACCGCCATTTTCCTCCAACCACTTCCTCACATCTTGCTTGTTCACCATACACATCACTCGCAAGCGCTCTTCCGGTATACGTTCGCGATATAGACGCATGATATAACCGCAGACGGTCCACACATCATCCCACGGAGCATCGAACAGGTCCCACCAGCAATTTGGTGGTGTGGAGGGGAGGGATACGCCGAGGTGTCTTGTGGTGAGGAGGATAGCGGCGCTGACGATGGTCGGGACTGCGTATAGAGCGTATACCGGTGTTTGCAACCTGTTTGTGATTGAAAGTTCAACCAGATGAACGCCCTCAATGACTGGACTGCACGTACGCGTCATTCAAGTATCCCCACGCCATCGCACATACTTGTCTCCGATTCGTCAACCCGAGCACGCGCAAATAATTGATCAAGGTTCCATAAGGCAACGTGACGTGTACGTTAAACCCGAGTCGTTTCAAGATCTGCATTTCCGCTACGACGATGGCGTCTTTGAGGACGTAGAACGTGTTTCCAAAGTATGACATGGGTGCGTATTTGAATGGTTCGTGTTGTTGTTTTTCTTTGCCTTTTGTAGGGCTGGGGTTTTGCAGGGCGAGGGAGAAGGTGTGTGTGGTACGTTGGAGGAGGAGGTCGTAAATGTTGATGAGGTCTCTCATTCGGAGGGGACATTCTTCGAGTTTGGAGGCGAGATAGAGTGCGCCCATGCCGATGTCCTAGGTTGTGAGAATCCATCCATGGTAGTCGGACATGTATGAGATGCGAGAGGAAGAACGCTGACCCCAATTCCAAACTGCTTCATCGAACTTGCGAACCAGAAACGATGGTACAATATTTGGGCTGTTGCCACTGCTACCTGTTTTCTGATGTATGCATGAGGAGCGTTGTTGTGTACGAGGACGCCGTGTTTCCTTGGATGTCAGGAGACGTACTGTTTGAGTAGGATACCTGCTTGGTGGATGAGTTTGCAGCCAAAGGCTCTGAGATCTTCTTCCAGCTCCTGTGGGATCCCATCTTCTCTGGATGGTGTGAGTTCGATCTGGGATGTCGTTGCTAGCGGTACAAGGTCTGGAGTCATATGTCGAGGCGAGGAAGAAGGCAAGAGGACAGGGTTTTTCATGTCAAAAATGGAAAGTCCGCGACAACTCTGCTACTTGACAATTACAAGCTGAAAAAAAAAAGGACCCAACACCATGTCCAATCTCCCACCCAAACCAGAGTTCACGCGACCATCCAGCTCATGGCCCGACCCAAACGACGACCGACGCTATACGCACGCTGGGCGCTCACCGCCGCCGCTGCCTGACCGATACATCCACGCCCGAGACGACCGAGAACGCGACCGCACACACCGCCCACGATACCCCCCCAGATCACCACCTCCCCGGTCCATGGACTCGTACGTCGCCTCTTCGGACGCTTACCGCGACCACAACAGCAGCAGCAGCAGAGACTACCGTGGCTATGATGATTATCGCGCGAGGGACGACAGGAGGAGGGATTGGGAGCGGGGACATCATGATAGACGGTCGTCTGGGAGGGTGGATGGCGATGCGTGGGTTGCGAGGAGTGAGTACGGGTTGAGGAATGAACGGACGCCGGTGGGTGGTCGGAGGGGATACGAACATGCCCAGGACGAGTGGAGGGGGAGGGACTATGAGTATAGAAGGGATAGGGATAGAGATAGAGATAGAGATTGGGCAAGAAGCCGCGATCGCGACTACGCGTATGAAGACCGGAGAGACCGTTATGAGAGGCGCGAGTCTCCGGGTTTTCGTGGTGGTGCGAGTCTCTCCATTCGCTTTCACTTTGTTCTCATTGGAAAAGCCAGAGTACTACGGACGAGCTCATACGCCTCCTCGTCGACCGCAACCCCCATATCCCCCTCGTGGAAGACGCTCCACCTCGCCGAGAAGTACGGGCGACTGGTCGCGCAGGTCACCGTCGCCGAGACCGCGCGTCAAAACGGAGGCCATAGACCACCCCTCTCCAGGTGATCTACCCTGCCATGCACACAGAAGCCCCTCTCCGTCGGCAAAACAAGCCCGATACAGTCGCAGCGCCAGCCCACGACGGCATACACCCCCCGTCTGTAGTCAGACGCACCCACAAACCAAGGCTGAGCCTCAGCAAGTGGACATTAAGCGGCTCAGTCACTCTGATCCTGACGTCCTATCGCCCCCATCTGCCAGATTCAAAGATGCTACCACTGATCATGATTCTCTGGTTCCAGAGAGACCAAGGAAGGACGAGGTGGAGCCGTCTAATTCAGTTGGGAGCGAGCGACACAAGGGCAAGGTCCGTTCCGAGGATCGGAAGAGCGAGGTAGATGTGGTAATGCAGTCGCCCTCACCACAACAAGGGGGCCCACGTTCCCCCTTGGAGCGTAGTCGGCTGTTAGTGCAACCACACCCTAACGCCCAAGCTACCGCAAGCACATCTCCCGAACCCTCCAAACCTGCGCCCACGCTTCCATACTTGCCAACGATTCCAAAATACGAGGCGAGGCCCAAATTTAGTTCAGTATATGAATCTGAAGTGAGCACGTTCCCATGTCACTATCACAAGTTGCTGATAATTTTTTAGTTGAGTCGAATCGAGGCACATCGTGCTCATGCGGCAAGCGAGTGTAAGAAAAGCTGGAAAGCAAGCCGTCGTGCCTCGCATGAGCTGGACATGGCCACGCTTGACTTGCGTGCGGCACAGCACCGTCGAGAATTGGCGGAGAGTCATCGCAAAAGGGCGCATCATGGGCAACTTGGGATTGAGCCGGGAGTGGGGCAATGAATTGACGTTGCCACTGGTGTTCTATTTAGGCATCCATGTGTTATCAACGCAGGGCATTATTACATCTACTTTCGCGGTAGTTTTCTGCAGACCATATGTGTCCGTGATGGGTCTGAGGGCAGTGCACAGAAGAAGCCGTACTTCTGTTGGATAGGTGGGTAATCAGGAACGGATAGGGCAAAGGAACGGCTTGCCTGCATTGCCTCGAACATCTGGGTAGAATACATCTTGAGCTGCGCAACGTGGATATGAAACGTCTCGTGAATGTGGATTAGAATCACTCACGGTGACACATTGACGGCTGTTTTCTCCGTCTTGCCGACAGAGGTCGGTGTACGGGGATCCGTGTTGGCTGACAAAGGTGTACTGCGCGTTCGGGTTTTGCTGGTGGAGCAGAGTGAGGCAAGGCAAGACGGGTGGATGAGGACGTACAGAAATGAACGAGCGAAGGGTTTCACTGGCGTCCTTTTGATTGGACATGGTGATAGAATGCAGTTGAGAATTAGTGTACAGGTCTTGTCTTGCCTATGACGTATTAGGGGGTCTTGCCATCGCGACCCCTCCCAAGTGATCCATTACATAGAAAAAAAAGGTATGTAGGTATAGAATCCGAAGCTAACGCCACTGGGTCAGCAGTGCAGTGGCGTGATGGGGTAGCGTCTGGACTAGGGGGGTGAGGGTGACAGGAACGGCACTGACCCCAAGAAGTGAGTGAGGACTGCTATGGGTGGCAGCGATCGTTGCCACAGGGCCTATGGGAATGATGGATGGACAGTGGGATATCGCAGGTGCTGATGTGGACGCGGGATAACCAACGGTCAAGGGTGGCTCGGCGCTTGGATGGTGGACAATCAGCGTCTGGTTGGGATGGACGTTTGCGTCTGTGGGGTCTGTGTGTGTACGGGGGGTGAGAGAGGTCCTCGTCTGTGTCTGGGAGGTCGAAGTGGAGGAAGGTCGGTGAATGGTAAGGAAGGGGCCGCGGTGCGAGTACGGGGAGGTCGCAGACGACACGGATGGTGTCTGGCGGTGTCATATCGGTCGATATGGACGAGCAGGTGTCTGACGGCGATGGGGCCACTGCTAGAAAGCAAATGAGCGAGAACTGGCTGGTCTGGACGAGAGAACGCTACCGGGTGGGCTGGTGGTTGAGTGCATGGGTGTTCTGTGGATGAAACTGGGAGAGCTGGCTTAAATGATGGGCGAGGAGGAGCGCCATGGCTACGTAACAGAGCAAGAGCAGACAGCCGGCGTGGCTGCTTCCACATTCGCTTCTCACGTTCACTCGTCGTCCCCTCTTATCATCACAGAAAAAAAGAAGGAAAAAAAAAAACATATGCTCAGACATATCAAGCACTTTCTACCCGCAGTCAGAGCATACTCCCAAGAAGCCGTCAGCCCGTATTTCGTGCGTCGGACCAAGCAGGGGTCGCTGCCAGTCTACTCCCACACTGGCAATGCCGGCACAAGAGTCTTTGTCGAGATACGCAACGTCGAGGGCCGTGTTGATGTACGCTCAGGTCGCTTTTGCTGTCCCTCGCTAACTGCGTTTGCCCAGTCCCTTGCAAGTGACCTGCAACAGTCCCTGTTTGCCCAGCATTCGCCAGAAGCCGCTCGCATGAAGATCCAGACTCGACAACAGCGACACCTCGTTGTCGGTGGCGGACGCTGGAGACGAGAAGTTGTGGAATGGCTCACTTCCAAGGGTTTCTAAGATTACAGTTGTTTAATGTCGTACCACGATGGTTGAAACGTGAATATGACCGTCCAAATGAAGTTGACTCGGATTCGTTCCGTATCCGACCCCCGCATTCCGCTTAGATCACCTCGCAGAAAATCTGACTCCTCCAGACTCACCTCTTCTTCTTCCTCGACATCCACGACAAAGAAAAAAAAGAAAAGAAAAAAAAAAGGTGCCAACGATGACTACGCCGGTGTCGACAACACCCACAGCACCCGTCGCAAACGGCCCTCAGGGTGCTGCAGGCAACGCGCCATCCGCACCTGCGCCATTCCGTTCCGCTCAGCGAGATGGCGCCAACTCTAG